CCTTACCTTAACCGTAACTTTACCCTAACCTACCCTTACCCTTTAACCCTTTTTACCCCCTTACCCTAAGTAACGTAGTACCTACGAGTTTCTCTATTATAGAACATGGACATTATTTTTGAATTTATTCCAGATTATTGTTTATGTTTTTGTCAATTTTGTAAGTGAGGATTTTTTGCTATTATATTTTTAAATGCTTAAAACTGACATTTAGAAAGGAAGATTCGGTTTGTAAATACTCACTTTGTAACTTGTCATTTAAAATTGTAAGTATTAAGAACTTGTTCCAGAATCCTTTCTTCTTTGTTTTTAAAAATTTGTGTCCAAGTTTATCAAAATGTTCATAGCTATGTAGTACAGGTGGGGAGACACATGGAGAGAGGTAGTGTAGCTCATGTACAAACTGTGAGCAGATTCATGGCTGCCTTTAGGCTGGAGAAGCCACAGAAGAGCCCAGGTTAGACCAGGGATGGCTTTGTATGCACTTGAAAGCCAGCTTTCCTGCCTGTATGGTGAAGCCTGGTGGGTGTGGCAGGAAGATGATCAAGGTCTGATCAAGGTGATTGGCTGCACAGAGCGCTGTGTATGTGAGAACTGGTGACCATCGCCATGGGAAATGCTTGGTGCCAGGAACACTGCAGGGGAGCAGGGGAGTCTGTGTGTTAAGGATTTTCCAGTCCTGGAAGTTGGAAGATCAGACTCTGCATTCAGATCTGAGTTTGAATTAGTCCTCTTTAGTTTACTGGTCCTCTGACATTTGTCAAGTTATACATCCTGTTTGAACTCCTGCTTTCTTGTCTCACTAAACAGGAGAATTACGGCCTGCTGCTAGAGTGTTTGATCAGGGTAAATGATTTGTGTCTATAAGATGCCACGTACAGTCACAAGCTCACTGAGAAATGAGCTGTCGCCTCTTCTTCTGCAACTCAGTGCTCGATAAGTCATCAGGGGAAAGCAAGTCCCTAATTTGTATGTGGTGCAAGGAAGAACAAAACTAACGTCTTGCCTTTCCCTGGCAGTATTCTTACTTCTTTGCTTCATGTACCTCTTTCCTCCTTTACTCTCCCTTTTCACCTCCTCCACCAAGAGCCTGAGACTTTCTCAGAACACTATATTCAAATTACTTTAAATGTTGGCTCATCCTCATGAAATGATAGTGACATAAAAAAACTGTACACATCCCGGACTTGATTGTATTTGCTTTACAAACGCACACGTGCACACACACACACACACACACACACACACACACACACACACATCAGGCTACCTCCCATTTGCTGAGGAAGAAGTACCACTTTTTCTGGGTTTTCATTTACTGAGCGTGAGATCAAAGACTCTTAAGCAGAATTTCGCCTGGCTTCGTGCATGGTTTTTTAAATTGGATTTCTGCTTTGTGTCCATAGAAATATTCTCCTATTAGAAGAGAGGAAGTGGAGACATAGATATTCTGCTGAGATATTGGTGTTATCATATTTGAGTTTTAAAGGACTTAAGACAGCATAGAGTCGTAACTTTTTATGAGTGAGAATCCATGATGGTGTAACTTGGACAAGAACCTGGGTCTCCTGCCATCGTGTCCACGCAGGTGAAAAGGCAACTGGGCAGGGGACTTCGGGGATCCTTCTTGCTTGAGTTCCAGGGTCTTGCTAGTTTTCATTGCT